CCCCCCATTGCCCCCTCCTCTGGTCTCCTGACTCTTTCTGAACACTTTCTACTGATACTCCTTGGCTCCTTCTTATTGTTGTCTTCCAACCACACCCCAGTTCTTAGGGTGGTAGTAAGATCTAACACTGAAACCTTCTCAGAACGGGGCAAAATTAATTCCTACCAATCTGAAAATTTTTAATGTGTCCCGCGCACTCATATGACCTTATGCTGTTGCAAGGGTCATAAAACACATACCAAAACAAACAACCAGAAACTTGCTCTCATTGATGTTTTTGTACTGAACTCAGATCACATTGCAGACTATCAATTGAATTCATCAGATTCAGTCGGAGCCAACCAAATTGTTCATCCTGGAGGGGCCAAATCTACCATTTTGACGCATTACGACTGATTCGACTCCCGAACTTGAAACACTAAGGCGTTTGTTTATGAAGATGACTGTTAAATTAAGCCGAATTCAGTCGAACTGTGCCACAAGTGGTAGTTTTTGCCCAACCCATGAAGACAAAAATATTAAGTCTAGCCCCGACTAAATGAATCAATTCGAAGTCCGCGTGCAATCGGTGTAAGATCTCAAATCGTGAACGCCTGTTGAAGTTTTTTTTATTGACACGGATTGTACTGCCATCAGGGAGAGCTAAAGATGAAACCGAAACCCAACTCTTGAGGCATGGACGTTTTTCAGTTGGAGATTTTATTGCCTGAGCTGTGCAAGGAGGAGAGACGCAGAGGTGGCGCCGTCGACTCATGAATCAGCGAGATGTGGGGATTATCTGGGGATTTCTTGATCCCTCCGAAATGGGTTTCAGCCCATCCATGCAGGACACACAGAGAGGAAGAGCAAACGAGAACGAAAGAGAAAGCGAACGAAGATGTGGAATTTAGCATTCCTGTCCTACAAACACGTTAGTCTCTGCTGCCATAACGGATGGCCTTGTTTGTTAGTTTGTTCTTTTTTTCTGCCAGTTCAACAATTTTCGCGTGGACAGGTCTGTAACAGATGGCTCCATGGTTTTGTGGACAGCGTCAATGACGTTGATTTACGCGCTTACTCAACTAGCCGGGTGTGCTGGATCTAGCAAGGTTTGGGCGTACACGTATCAAACAAATGAGACTTACGTCTTTACGGGTTATGCACCCCCCCCCCTTTCTGTCCAAACAACACATCATGAATAATAGTACACAATCTCTCTCTCTCTCCCTCTCTCTCTCTCTCTCTCTCTCTCTCTCTCTCTCTCTCTCT